GTTAAGTTATTGTTGTTTAAAGTTTAAAAAAAATTTATTTATAAAAAATTTGCTTGATTTCTATTGACTCAACCCCATATGGTATGCCTAGCCAAAAGGAAAATTGACACTTGGTTTAAATACTGAATTAAGTATAGTACTACTTTAAACTTTATTTTATCTTTAAAAATCTAGTTTTATTCTTATATATAATTTTTGTTTTTATTTGTACTTATACAAATAGTAGTATTTCTATATTCCATGTAGTTACTATTTTTAAAATTACTAATAAAAATATGAGCAAAGCCTCACATCAATACCAAAAAAAAAATAAAATAAAAAACTAAGTCCAATAGATTTTTTTGAATGGTATCAAAATATTTTCGCCCAAAATCTTCAAAAAAATATTTAAATTTTATGTGTTAAAAACTTAAATTTAGGGTGCATTATAAATCTTATCTGTTATAGATCTAACTTTTGCTAGCCAGCCATCACCTATTTTTTTAGGTTCGAAATATTTTTTACTTAAGAAAAGTATATAGATTCTCTGAATAATTTTAATTTACATTATGTCCATTGACAACACTGCACGTGATAACCAACAGCAAGTTAGCCAATAGGGAATTTTGAAAACAATTTTGGTGAGGCGAATTTTTAAATATTTAATCTAATCTAATCTGCCTGCTTAAAAAGACATTAACAAGAGAATGTTTTATTTTTTTGAATCGAAAATCTTGCTTAAACTGGTTAGAATTGTTACCTTTGATTGGTCAGAAGACCCGAAATTTATCGAAATTTTACTTTAAATCGACCGTGTTCCCACTAATTATTGGCGACGTTAGAGCCAACGGTCACGTGCATGCAGGTTTTAACCCCATGATTGTTTATAACGAGATCTTTGTTTTTTTGCAAAAAAAGTCACTGCACCATATTGTCGCGATTAAAGATAGTGTTTCAAAGGGCTCTATGATTTTGTCCCATAATAATTAAATTTAGATCTTCAAATCTCTAGTCAACATGCCCGGACGAATTCTGTTTCGTTATACTCGTGAAGAGGTTGCCAAACATAATACCAGGAAGAAACTTTGGGTCATCCATAACAACAAAGTTTATGACTTGACAGAATTCGCCCTCGACCATCCCGGTGGTGCTGACGTACTTTTGGAATGGGGAGGACGAGATGTTACCAAAATTATGACCGACCCAGCTTCACACGAACATACTAAGAGCGCATATGAATTATTGGCAGATTCATGTATTGGAGAAGTGGTTGACAATGCTGTTGTCTCAAATACACAAATTAAGAACGCGGATGGCATATTCGATGAACGAACAGTTGATAAATTTCATCCCGAAACAACGGACATAAAATCCGACCTTAACGAAAAATTTTTAAACCTTAATAAGCCGTTATTTGCCCAAATGTTTAATTGCAATTTCAGCAAAGAATTCTATCTTAAACAAATTCATCAACCACGTCATCTCCCTTATTCGGCTAGATTGTTTGCGAGTCCAATGTTGGAATTGTTAACAAAGACACCTTGGTATGCAATTCCCATCCTTTGGATTCCTGCTATTTCGTATTATTTATATATGGCGTCAGGAGGTTTAGGTTCGCGGACCATTATCATATTATTCCTTTTCGGTATTGGAATTTGGACTTTATTAGAGTATACACTTCATAGATTTTTATTTCACATCGACACTCTTCTACCTGACCACCCCTACGCTCTCTCTGTGCATTTTGCTCTACACGGTATTCACCATTATTTACCGATGGATAGGTAAAGTGTTGTTTATCGATATATTTTACTTGTTTATTCAATTTCTGACAGGATTATTTTTAATTTTCAATATTTTAAGACTTCGTCTTGTAATGCCACCGATACTTGGTGCTTGCATTGCCTACCCGATCCTTCAACTCGGATATATGATTTTCCCCGAACATATTGCATATGCTTTGATTGCCGGTGCGATGTTTGGTTATGTGTGTTATGACATGACTCATTATCATCTGCACCATTCACGTCCATTTACCCAGCATTTGAGGGAGATGAAGACATATCACCTGGCTCATCATTATAAAAATTATGAATTAGGATACGGAATTACAAGTAAATTCTGGGATTCAATATTTGGCACGATTCTATATAAAGATTGATGATAATGATATTTGGAGGGGCATAATGGGTGTAATTGATTCTGAATTTAATTGTTCATAAACCCTAAGTTGAATTACATGAAATTTGTCATTCGATATATGGTTTTCGCATGTGGTTATTTTAATGAATTGTTCTTATTATGAATTTTATTTCGTCATAGTTCTTAAATTAGCATTCTTCATTATTAAATTAGATCTTAATATAAGTGTCAGTGTCAAAAAAAAATTACAATTTAATAATTAGAATGTAACATGATAGCTGGTATATGCATATAACAGAAATAATGCAGTAATGTCGATATTGATATCTAACGCGTAATACTGTCACGTGAGTGTATGTAACATAAACTATCGCTAGTTCTGTGATGCTATTTGTAATTTCTGTGATTATATAATTTACGTTTGCTTATATACCTTTCCGGAATTTCCCGCGTAAATATGAATTTGTCATTTTATGAAATCCAGAAAATCACCGTCCCTGTCTATACATATTCGATCCGGAAAACCATCATTTTAAAAATTACGCGTCCCTACTGTGACTTGAACAGATATCTTGAATTTTATAGCAAGGTAAGTATTTTTAACAACCTAATTTACATTATACTGATCAACGATGAAAATATATAATTCAGACGCGCTTTGCAATAGATTAAAAATGGACTCGTATTCACCCTTACTACCGCCAATGGACTTTGAAAGTTACCTGGGAATTTCTTGAAAATGGCATCGAATACATTATGAACAGATTAGAAGAGGGCTCAGCTATAAACGTTACATGAATTTACATATGTATCCTTTTCAAATCTTAGAAATGCATAGTTGTTATGTTTTAGTAATCCAGCTTTGGGTAGTCATTAATTTGCAATCGTGATAATAGTTCATCTGATTTTCGATACAATTATCGTACAAATAGTCGCATATGAATCTTGGATTTACTTCCGAACTTCTCTCAGGTCCTGGCTCTAGCATAAAAATAATCGAGATATAAGGTTGCATATGAATTTTATTATAGCTAGCATGCAAATCCGTTCTTATCGTATTGATTTGAAACAAGTGCCAGAATATTCAAGAGTACAGTACCTTCAAAGATATCTACAAGTCATTAGTGAGGTATAACCATATACACACCCTTACCGGAAGTGATTTATTATTATGATTATTATTATTAAAAACGAAATTTTGTGCTCTATATTAAAGTTTTTAATTTTATTAATAACCTTTCTCTATTTGTTGCCTACGTATTTAAAGCTACGTAATCAGTTGCTTTCTAAAAATGTATTTATTTTGATTTTCAAAAGGAAACATTCTAATCGAGAAATTACCCTAGAAATTTTTTATATGTAAAATATATGTTTACATATAAAAAATTTTTAGGACTAACCCTCGGTTAGAACGTTTTTTTTTATTACGTAAAAATTTTAAAATTCCAAAAGGCGTAATTAATTAGCTTTAAATAGGCAACAAATAAAGAAAGATTATTAGTAAAATTAAAAACTTTTATATCGATATAGTGCATAAATTTTCGTTTTTATTAATAAAAAAATTATCATCCCGGTAATTTAGTGTAGGGGTGAATATATATTTCATTTAATGTTTAAAAGCTCGTCAAGTTGTGATTTCGTTTTTCTCAATACCGTATCGTCGCGAAATAATGTTCCGGTCCCAGAAGGCTAAGAATTTGAACAGTATTTTTATTTTTTTAAAAATCTTTGTCAAAATTAATTTAGCTCTCTGGAAATTGTGTCGCCCGAGGCGTTATTTTACGACGATAGATACGGTACATGGATAAGAACGTTTTACGGTATTAACGGAAACTGAGAGAATATACTATAGCATCAGCATATTTGCATTATGTTTTAAGATATCTTAATCGTCATTGGGTGAAAAGGAAATTGATGAAGGCTAAAACCGTTTACGATGTATAAAGAAAGCTCTTAAATCATTTTAATTCAATTCGTAGCTTATATTTTTTGATGAGTACCTTATTCTTGTTAGTCGGCAAGATAACACGTTTATGCACGTTGAGCGTAATGTTATGACTGCTGTACTAGCACTAATCGAACGTCAAAGGAATGATGAGTCTATCGAACTAAACTAGTGAAGTGTGTCGTTGAATCTTTTGGTAAAGTTTTTCTTTTGTAAGATGCATATTGTTTATGATTAGCTTAACATTGAATTAATAAGATTTTGTAGTTGCTATTGGTCTTGACAGTGCTGATTTCACAAAGCCTATTATTACATTTACAAGAAGCATTTTGAAGAACCATTCGTAAAGGTATCAGAATTTTATTACAAGACCGAATATGTCACCGAAATAGTGTTACAGATTATCTGAAGGTGTGTGAAATAAAATTTCAAAATTTCATAAACTTTACACACTAAAATTGTTGCGTAATAATGTAGGCTGAGGCGAAGTTAGCTAAAGAGGAGAGTGTAAATTGCATATATTTGCATCAAAATACCCATAAGCAAATAACCCGTTTTACATTAAGCCAGTCATTTGACATGTTATCATTATTTCATTGTTTTGACTTTAAGCATTTTGCACAGCTAATTTCCACGTGCGAACAAATTCTTGTAAAAAAAACCATTAAGAAATCGTGTTTGATGAATTCTAAAATTTGGGAGAGTCAGTAAAAATCAAGCAAATTTTTTTCGACAATTTTTTTTTTTTTTAAACTAAAAATCAAATTTGTTAAAAATTTTTACATTCTATAAGTTTATAAAAATTTTTATTAAATTTTATTAATTTTCTTAAGATATTTTTGGTTAAAGTTTTAAAAAAAATATTTATTATAAGAAATTTGCTTGATTTCTATTGACTCACTCTCATTTACTTAATCAAGAAAAATGGAATATTTAAATCAGATCGTTCCTTTACACGATCGGCACAAAAAATGTTACGATTCCGGGAAAGCTAGCACTAATCGTAAGCATTAAGGCGTAAGCAGGTAACTTTATTATATCGATCTTCTCGTTAGATTAATAAGTGGCCCATAGCTAAGGGTAGAGAGTTTTACTTATCGAGGAGTAAAAGTTCTTTATTAAAGAGCAGAAAACTCTTCCTATTACCAGCAACAAGCAATCCTTGCATAGCTTTTTACTGACGCTAAAAAAGCAAGAAATCATTACGCAAAAATTAAGCAATAATTTTTAACTCTTAAGAAAAATGTAATAATAGCTACGAAAAGCATAATAAAATAAAACTTAATTACATTTAATTACAAAAAAAATCAGTGCGTAATCTAATGAAAACTCGTAAAAAATTTGAAGTACATTCTTTTGGCGAAGAAATAATCATTTTGCGCCTAGTATTCATATTAAAAGTGTGTTAACATTTTAATCGAGAAAAAAAATATATAGAACGTGAAGTCAAAGGAATTCTTTGCCATACGTAGTTTAATTTAATAGTTTATTTAATAGTCGTGATCCGATATTATTCTTCGCATGGTTAAAAGTATATATATATGTATGTGCAATGCATAGAGATGGATAATAAAGTAGACTTAACGAATATTTTTGGTTTTTTTTCCTGATCAGTGATCACAATGTGAAAGGTATTAAACAGTGATTAAATAGAATTGGTCTAATTTCTCCTCTATGAAAATAAAAAAAAATCTTGAAGTTTATCGAATTTAAATTATCTCATATTTTGAATATATTGCTAGTATGTAAAACTGTATCACAATTATTCATATTTGATATCCACAATTAATCAAATTATCCAACAAAATTATTATTCATCAGTACTATTCCTTACTAAATCAAGAACATCATTTTCATCCTCTTCACTTTCCACATCAACCTCTCTTTCAAATAACGAAATATCAACTGCAACATCGTCTTCATCCATAAATGTGGCATCAGACTTAGCAAGCGCTTGGTCGTGTTCGAATAATTGTCGACCTAAATATGATAAGTATAAAGTTAGTGTTCTAACAATACAATGATAAATAGCAAAGAAAAATAAAAGTACCAGTGAGTTTATTCTTTCTCATTTCTTCTTTTTTTAATAAGGCTAAACTTTTCGTATTTCTTTCTTTTTCTGCTATTTCTCGTTCAAAATTTTCTTTCCATTCTAAGAACGATGCGACTGTTACTTTTGTACCTTGAAATTTGGCATGTTCTGCCTACAGTAACCAATTTTTAATCTTGTTAGATGCATCAACAAAGATAACAAAAAAGCAGATTACAAAATACCTCAATTTCTTTTCTAATTCGATCTTCTTCAGCCTTTTTTCTTTGTTCCTGTCGTTCTACCACAAAAGTTGTTAAGGAATCTTTGAGGAATGATGTTAATGTGAATACCATTGCCATTCCTATTGAATCCCGAGCCTTTTAAAATTTAGAAAATTAGTGACTGAATAAAAAGAAAATTTGTAATTTTATTAATTACCATATTAATTAAATCTGTGTAAAATTTATCATGTTCATTCTCTTCTAACGAACCCTCCAAAACTTCTAATGACATTTCAGGAATTTCTTCCGGATATGTGGGTGTATATTTTATGCGTAACGCCACAACAACTAATATTAAATAATTGGTTATTAAGAAATTGATTAAGAAACGAAGGGAATCATAAACTAGTGAATGAAAATAAATGATATAAAAACCTTACGCGGTGCTGAACTGTCCTGTTCTTCAGGATTTAACGTTATACGAAATTCCCCTTCGCCTAATTCTTTTTTAAGATAATTCATACCCCCAATTTTAGAATAGTAATTGGGACAAAAAAAGTTAATCCTCATATCACTTTAGCAACATCGTTCCACGCTTAAAATCTTCAATTTAGATGAATCATGATATTTTCATTTAACTGAATGGCATTAATTTAAAAATAAAAAATAAAATAAAAAATTAAAATTCTAATTCATACAATTAAATACCTTCAAATTCATCCGGATAAATTGATTTCAACACTTCTAGTTCTTGTTCTTGTTCTTCTTTATAATCTAACCGATATTTCATATGAAATCCACCCGATAAAATAATTCATATTAATAACGAAAAAAATCAGATAAATTTAATTCTGCTAAAATACACGCGTACCAGTCATTCTAGTAAGCTACATGCCAGGAAATCAAAATTTAGCGGAATCTTTTTACGTACGTAGATATTAATTACTTTTTTTGGTTAATTAAAAAAATGGAATCAAGTTCTTTGCATTTGATCACGTGAACATCATTCTTCACTGTTTATTTGTGTAATCCTTTCGATTCGTACACAAAATATGCGAATCGCAGATCATCCGTTTGAATTATGCGAATCGACGATCATCCGTATTGTTCGAACCTGTGCTCGAAACTATCGATGATCATTACGCGAACATGTTCAGCGATGGAAGCGAATCATTCCTCTGATCGATCCAAGCTCTTAAGATAATTTGGTTTATTCATTATTTTTTATTTCTTTCATTAACTTTTTATAATTTAGAGATAGCGAACAGTTGGGTTTAATTCTTTTAAAATTAAATTTATGATTCTTTTCGTCATTTGTGTGGGAGATTATGATCTAAATTTTCTATGAATATATGCACATTAATGAAAATTACACACTTATACAATTTGTGAATTTTATTTGCAAAGATTTTTGAAAATTAATAAAATTCTTAATTAGGAAGGTTTTTATTTATTTAAGGGTAGGGTGTACATAGATCATTTTTCATATGATCTGCATGGTACATTGAATTTTTACATAGTAAATAAAAAAATACTTTTGATTAAACTTTTTAACATCTCAGTTAATTTTTATAAAATTTATATGATATGTAGTTTAAATTAGTTTGTTTATAATAGTGAAGTTGTGGAATATATATTGATTTAAAAAAAATGAACTTTATATATAATCAAAGTTGCTAGGGTCGCTATATGTTTTTCTGGTATTATACAAAAATTACTAGTTCTAATTGGTTGAATCATATGATGTTTATATATAAATCATATGATATCATTTACACAAAATTGATATACAATCTATTTTATATAAATTTGGAAATTTGTACATCCTACCCTTAAAAAAAATCATGTGTTATAAAAAAAAATTATGTAATTAAAAATCAATTAGTACAACTTATTGGTTTTCTTCTGGCTGCATATGCTTGAAGTCAACAAGAAAATAAGTATAATATTATATATAATTTAATATTACAATATACAGTATGTTGGTATATACTGTGCAGTATATAAAATCTAAAAAAAATTATTTATATATATGTACTATAAGAAATTTTTTTTGTATAATTTATTTTATTTAGCTTATAATATAAACCATAATTATTGTAAATTATTAATTTTAAAGTCGTATATACTATATTAAAATTTTAAAATATTCTTACTCTAAATATGCATATAATTTCTTAATATAAAATATATGTTTATTCTTTTAAATTTTTACTTATATATGTATACACACTTTCTTAAATTTTTTAAATATTATGTACAAATAATATTCAAACTAATTAATTGTTTTATATATAAGAATCAAATTTAATTGGCTAAAATTAAAGATCAACCACATGATACTATAGCTTTTTATATTTTTAATTTAATTCTTAGTATTAGTTACCATTACTAGTTGTCATGCAAGATTCAAATAAAAAAAATCAAATGTCAAAATAATTGATACTTGCAACTGAATATATTTTTTTAGTAAGTAACTAGTATTATAGAAAAATCAAAATATTGATTAATATTGTCTTTTTGAATTTGATATAATTATAATATAGAAAAATCAAAAGTATTGTTTAAAATACTAAAGTTTGAATACCATAGGTTTATTTTACATACATATACCAAGTTATTTAATAAAAAATCTAAGATTATCAGTCACATAAAATTAATTGGTTATCTTTATTATGTATTAATTGACCAATTATATTTTATTATACTTGAAAATAATTTTTAAATTTTTATTTTACTAGATTAAAGATTTTTTGTTATTTAGTGACTAAAAATTTAATAATTTTTATATTATTCAATTTGTCTTATTAAGATAAATCAAATGTTATAAATATTGTCAAATTCCAAATCTAAGTTTATAAAATATCATCAATAATCTAATTTCCACTTATATTTAAATTTATTTTATTAAAAATTCTAAAAGTTATGTTTGTTTTTTTAGTAAATTAATTATATCTACTCAATCTAACTAATAAAACATATTTTTTCAACAAGAGAAAATGTTGATATTACACAACTGATATTTTACCAATGTGCAATATATAAAAAAATTCTAGATTATTCTGCTAGTACATGTTATGATTATAATCTAACATTATTTTTTATTATAAAAAAATAATATTAGATTATAATTATAACATGTACTAGCAAATAATCTGATATTATAAAATATTTTTTTTATATTTTGCACACTAAGTAAAATATCAGTTGTAAACATCAATGTTTTCTTCTGTTTATTCTTTCTAATAATTTTTAATATTATATCTTAAAGTTTCACCTTTGAAAATACCTTAAAATAACAATAGTTAAAATTTTAATAGAATATAAATTAATAAAACTAATAATATAATTTTTTATAACTTAAAGAATATAAAACATAGTTAATTTAATCTTTTATTCAGTTTTTTGTATAAATTTTATTTGAGATTGTTTTGTACTTCTTTTATAAAATATCATATTTAGTTATATATTATTTTTTTATTTTAATGCTAAATACTTTTGTGTACTTGATTATCTTAGATTTTTTATAAACTTTATCACTAATAAAACTTTTTAAATACTGTGATTATTTTTAATTAATTTTAGTAGAATATAGCTATTTGAAAGTTTTTTGTTATTTTTTTAAATGTATTTAATTAGTAAATTTTAAAAAAATATAAATAATAAATATTTTAATATATATAAAAAGTTTAAAAATTTTTTTATTAAATTAGCTAAGCCACTATAGATTATTACTGAATATTGACTTGTCTACTATACTATATTAAATATAGTCAGTAATTCTTTTTACTATTACTCTATATTGCTAGATATAAGTTTTAAAATTTTATAATTTATTATTTATATATTTATTATATATACAATATATTACTATTTTGATTATATAATATATATAATTGCTATAAATATGATTAGGTTTGCAGATTTTTTTAGAATATTATTATTGTTAAAACTACTATTTTTATAATTACTGAAGTGATTATTTTTAGAATTGTTATAGAAAGCATTGTATTTTAAAGATATTGAAGTTGTTGTTCTTTGATATAAATTTCTTTTTTTTATATTATTGTTAGATTTTTGATGCTAGTCTAATTAATCATATTATATAGTTATACTTAAAATTTTTTTGTATTGAAAGAATTAAAATGGATTAATTAATATTTTAAGCAGTGCAACTTAAATATTTAAAGTTACAATTTTAAACACAAAGCCTGCGATCAAAATATGATAAAATGTAGCTATTTTGATTAACTAAATATTATATCATTAAGGTAAATATACATTGAATTAACTTTTATCCAAATTATTTTTTTATAAACATATATCATTAGTTAAAGTAAACTAGTCAATAAATTTTTTATTCAAAATATTATATTTATTTTTTTCAATATCAAATTTATATTAGTTGAGTTTTAATAATAAATAAAGACTTTGTAATTTTTTTAACTCCAATTCTATATTGACATTAATATTTAATATTATTTGTTCCTATTAGTAAAACTCATATCAACTAATTTTTGATTTTTGAAGATCTTGTATTTATTTTTTTTAATTCTATTGTATATTTCATTAGCAAAACCTATATTAATTGATTTTTTTTTTTTTTTTTTTTTTTATGGCGAGGCCTGCAAAAACATTGATATTGACCTATTTGGACCATCGTTATTGATCTACCAAAAAATTTGTATATCGTTATTGACCAGA